GGGGGTGGGGGGGGGGTGCAGATGTTGACCTTGTGATAGAATGTAGCTGGTAAAATGTTAGAGAGCTTACCTGAGGTTATAGGATGTTAGGCAGGTTATAATATGCCATCAATCTAATGTTTCGGGCTCGAACACCCTTCTTCAGACATATTGAGTCTGCTGGTAAATTCTCTTGGGTAGAACAGAAGCCAAAATGCAAAATGCAGATCTGTGAAAATGCAAATTCCTAGCAGTGAGGATCAGAGGGGTGGAAGCCAATAGGTATGAGACAGGAAGGCAGGGGGAAGAGGGGGAACGTTGAACTGGTGATAGAAAAATGTAGCTGGTAAATATCAGATGGCAGCAGGTGTGCCATAAATCCAATGTGTATATTTAGTTCATGATTTTTTGTATCTGTTAGATTTATGAAGGGAAGTTCGTAGGCATGTCTATGAAAGGTGTTTTGTAAATTCCCTTTGAGGATTAGAACTGAGAGATTGGAGAGAGAGTGGCTGTCTTGTGAGAAGTGAGCACCCACAGGTAATTGGGTATTTTTGTCTTTGATATATTTTTGGTGTGTGTTCATTCTGGTACACAGTTGTAGTTTGGTTTCCCCTACGTATTTTCCATCAGGGCATTCAGTGCGTTGGATGAGATGTATTACATTTCTGGAGGTGCAGGTGTAAGATCCAGGAATGGTGATGGTTCTGTTGTGAGGTATAGTTATTGTGAGTGTGGTGGAGATGTGTTGAAGGTTTTACATTTCTTGTCTGGGCCTGGTCTGGCTCTTTTCAGTGTGCTTTGGGCTATAGGAAGTTTTCTTCTGGTGATGAGATTTGGCAAGGTTCAGTGCTTGTTTAAAGGCTAGGATGGGTGCTTTAAACAAGCACCGAACCGTGCCAGTCTCATAATCGGAAGCAAAATTCCTACGGCTCCAAACACACTGCATGGATCCAGACCAGGCCCAGAGCTGCCAGGTGGGTAGGGGATGGGCAGCCAGTGCAGAGTTCCCAGGGCAAAGGCAGCAGAGCGGAGAGCCCTGAGCCCACATTGAACAGTCCACATCTGCCCTCATCCCACTGAGCTCAGCTCCAGTTAAAAGCATGTCCACAGCACTTCAGCTAAAGCTCATTAGACAAGCTTTAGTTCAAGCACCCTGCTGCCATTCTTAAGTGCCGGGATGTAGATTCCATAGATTAGCTGCCTGCAGCTATGTCCCACTCCCCACCCTGGCCCCTGGTCCCATGCACCACCTTGGCTGGGCAGTGCCCCCTGCCTCATCCCCTCCCTCACCTTGGGGGCCTCAATCTGCTCCCCCTCCCCCAACATCCCTCCCCTCTCCCACACCTTTTCCCCTCCACAGACTTAACTGTATGGCGCTGCTCTCCACGCTACCCGGCTGCATTCCTAGCACATGCATACGTGCGACTACATGCATGCACATGTCATCCAGGGGCCCTGGCCAGAAGATATATTTATCAGTGAACATTATCAGCTACATTGGCCAAAAAAAGCCGATAGCTGATAATGTTAATTTTCCTTTTATTGGTGCACCTCTACCTCTATGCATGTTCTTTTGGTTATCCCAATAGAACAGATAGGGTTGCTGGGGTTCTACACTTGGAAAAGATTAGCCACGGTTTGTTACTAGGGGTGCACTGATAGAGATTTTTGGGGCTGATACCGATAGCCAATTTTTAAGGAGGCACATTGGCTGATACTGATCTGATTTCCGATACGCAGCCCGGCAGCTTGAAGAGCAGTGTCCGGATGGTAAGTCTGTTGTGGTGGAAGGGGAGGGAGAGGGGAAGGGGCATGCGGGGGCCAGATTGAGACCTCTGCAGTGAGGGAGGGAGTGGGGTTGGTGCAGGGCCTGGGGCAGGTGCTGTACAGCTGGGGCAGGGCATGGGATGGAGCTGTAGCTCGTCGCTAGGGGCACGGGAAGGGGAAGCGGCTCCTGCCGCTATGGTGTGCACACCCCTGCATGTGTTCTAGTGCATGTAGGTGCCCATGCTGTCAACCATCCACACTTAGCCCTTATAGTCATATATGTAAGGGGAGGCATATATCCTAAGTTGGCAATCTCTGTTCAGTATATCAGTAGGTACAAGGTTATGCCATGTCCTGTCCCCATTACCTGCTCACTTTGTAGTGTGGATGTGGCAAAGCAGAGTGGATTTGATTTAAATCAAATTAATTTAAATCATGTTTTAAACCAAGATTTAAATCACTGGTCAGGAAGCCTTGATTTAATCATTGTTTTCTATAAAAAGTGCATTTGTGTTGTTTGATATCCTTTATTCATTTAACTTCTTGAAAATTCACAGCAGTAGAGTGCTTGCTAGGATGCCTTTTCTGACCATGGGGCCTTTCTTTGAGACAGCCATGCAAGTTATACTGTAAACTAACCCCTTTAGGCAGTTAAGAAGTAAATGGCTATGTCCATAATGGAGAACACTGCCTGCTAATCAGACATATTCATACTACAAACATGTCAGACTGAAGAGCCTGGATGCATCATATTTGTTTCTTGACCCAGCAATAATGTGGATGGAAGTAGGACTCAAGTAAGCGGGATCCCTGGAACAGTTAGCCTCCAGTGTCCTCATTGCTGGCTTCCCACCCCAGTCAGTGTTCAACATGATGAAAGCTCCTCTGTCATCCTGTTTATTTTCAGATGGTGTGAATAATGTGTAAAGTAGGTAGACGTCATGGACAAATCTGTATTGAAGGAAGGGTAAGGAAGGAGGAATTGGTCAGAGATTTGTTAGAGGGGAATTAGCAGCCCAGTCTGATTATAAACCCATCAGTTTATTCTGATAAAGCCAGCATCATCATCATTTAGGCTTTGAAACCCTTCTGACAGGGCATGAAGCACTAGGTTTCTGATGTTGTTTGATGCTGCTTATGCATATCAAAGGGGAGACCAGTCAATTGAGATGTGATTATTGCAGCCCCTGCTGAGGCAGAGAGCTCCAGAAATAAACTGCAAGTAAGTGTGCTTCTGCAGTGAACTATGTAAGAAAGGAGCATCTAAAAAAGTTGCAGAGTGGCTGGAGGGAATCTGGGCTCAGGGGAACATGCTGCCTTTCCTCTGGAAAAACAGTCCCCAAAACAACTCTTCCCCCTCCTCCAGGACTTTGATACTATAAAAATCTTCCTCTGTGTTTACTAAGAGTGTGTGACACAATGTTCTCTCTCAGTTGCCCAGTCATTTCTCCTTGGTGGGCAGTCATTGAGATCACTGTTGGCAGTCTTGGTAGAGAAGCCAAGAAACTCTCTTGTTGCCCCTTGAGAAGTTTCTGTGGGCAGGGGAGCATGAACTTCACCTTGCTTCCATCTTTGCAGCACCTGATCTTGGCATATATAGAAGAGTCACCCCTAGGGTTGTGTAATTAGTAACTTTCACAAGCATTAAGGCCATTATTTTCAAGCTTGGGTATTAGGTACCTTCAATTCTTGGATAGGCATTAAACAAAGAGGTGTCCTTGTCAGAGTAGGTACAGCTGTCACTGAAACGAATGGCATCCGTGTGTCCCTAGAAGCTCTGGAAAACCTGCCTTCTTTAGGATACCTAAAGAGAAGTACCTGAGTCTGTATGTTTTTGCTTTCTTCTCCTCTTCCCTCTCCTTCAATAAAGAAGAGAAGAATAGAGAGAGTTTTAGACTCCCCTAGTGTATGGTGACTGCAATTATATAGGCCTTTGGATGAGAGGCAGTGGGAAACTGTCTGGATCCCTGCACTGAAATCTGTGGCATTATATCTGGGTGAATTTGTCAGAGTACTCTGTCTATTTCCTTCCCATAGATTCCACAGAGGTCATCTAAGTAATCCAAATCCAAATTAGATCACAAATATAAAGTCAGTTAAATTGTTTCTTTTCATGTCCTCCCTGTATGCAGTCTCCCCAAACATTTTGGAGTTAAGGACAAGACAGTGCATAGTATAAACTAAATACTGTTTCGTAGTTTCATAGTTCCATAGTAGCTAAGGTCAGGAGGAACCTGAACAGATCATCTAGCCTGACCCCCCTGCCCCCATTCCACAGGCAGGAATGAATGCTGGGTTCACAAGTCCCCAGACAGGTGATCATCCAACCTCCTCTTGGATTTGCCCAAGGTAGGGGCGAGGACCACTTCCCTGGGAAGTTGGTTCCAGATTTTGGCCACCCTAACTGTAAAATATGGCCTTCTGATCTCAACCTAAACCTATTCTCCATCAGCTTATGACCATTGTTCCTCATCACCCCAGGTGGTGCTGGGGAGAAAAGGGCTCTGCGTATTTGCTGTTGATCTCCCCTGATGAGTTTGTAGGCAGTCTCCAGGTCCCCCCTCAGCTTCCTCTTGCTGAGGCTGAACAGGTTCAGGTCCCTCAGTCTCTCCTCGTAGGGCCTGTCCTGCTGCTCTCTCACCAAGCGGGTGGCCCTCCTCCAAACCCTCTCCAGGCTGGCCACATCCCTTTTGAAGTGCAGCACCCAGTACTGGACGCAGTACTTCAACTTCGGCCTGGCCAAAGTCGCACAGAGGGGGAGTATCACCTCTCTGGACTGGCTTAAGATGCATCTTTGGATGCATGACAAGGTATGACTGGCCTTGCTGGCTGTGGTCTGGCATTGGCGGCTCATGTTCATCTTGGAGTCAATAATGACTCCAACATTCCGTTCTGCCTCTGATTTCAAGAGGGGATCCCTTCAAGTGTGTCCACCTTGCCCCACATCTTAATGTCATCAGCAAACTTGGACAGGGTGCTTTCCACCCCCTTGTCCAAGTCACTGATGAAGATGTTAAACAGTGCGGGCCCAAGGACTGAGCCGTGAGGTACCCCACTGCTCACATCTCGCCAGGTTGAGTACAACCCGTCCACCACTACTCTCTGGGTGTGCCCCATCAGCCAATTTTTTACCCATCCAACTGTGTAGGCATCAGTGCCACAGTCACTTAATTTATTGATGAGGATGGGGTGAGAGACAGTGTCAAAGGCCTTCTTAAAGTCTAGAAAGACTACATCCATGGCAACACCATCATCAAAGGATTTAGTTACTTGGTCATAAAAGGCAATCAGGTTGGTCAGGCAGGACCTGCCTTTGATGAACCCATGCTGATTGCCCCTGTGCATGATCTCGCCTGCAGGCCCCCCACAGATGTGCTCCTTGATGATTCGCTCCAAGATCTTCCCGAGCACCAAGGTGAGGCTTACAGGCCTATAGTTACTTGGGTCCTCCTTCCTCCCTTTCTTGAAAATTGGGACCACATTAGCCAGTTTCCAATCCCCTGGCACCTGGCCAGATGACCATGAATGCTCATACAGCCAGGCCAAGGGCTCTGCAATGACCCCTGCCAGCTCCCTCAACACCCTTGGGTGGAGGGCATCTGGCCCTGCAGATTTAAAAATGTCTAGCCCTTCCAGAAGATCCCTAACTACATCTGCACTGACTGAAGGCCTGACAGAGCTGGTTTCAAGAGATTATAGAATGAATCAGTTGAATCCCATGTAGAGGGCCAATGATAGAGATGGGGCAAAGTGAGGAGGAATAGGTAAGGAAAGTGACCTTTGTGAGCAAGATGGTGAGTAGACAAGGCACAAAGATATGGGATGTTTTCCATTTTGCAGGAACTGTACAAGTGGCTCTTCTACCAATGGTGGCGGGGATAATGGTGGGATCCTATGAAGATGCTATGAAATGTGTTGAGATAAATGCTTGATGATCCCAAATTGGGGATTTTGCATTTGTTTCTATCTTCTTCATAATCACTTGCCAATTGTAGGGCTGGAAGTAAGTGCACCCTCTTGGACTAAATGCTCTTATTTGTTTCCATGATCAAGACAACATGCAAAGTAGTATTTTAACATCCTGAAAGAGCAATATCAGGCCTGTTGGCTGGCCACATTTGCTGGTGTGATCTTTTTTTTTTTTTTTTTTTTCCCTCTCCTGGCAGAGCAGCTGTTGGCTTGTTTGGTATGTTGCCTGGTTAAAAAAAATAGTCAAGGTAAACCATTCATTTGAATTTCTGGTGAGAGGATTGGCACCCAGGGATGATTTCTGAGACCTTGGCTTGGTGGTGCTGGAGTATGTTCAGGAATGTGGGAGAGCTGGGCATGTCAAAAGCAGTTGTTTGTTCGCTTTCTCTCCCTGCCCCCCATAATCCAAGTCTTTTATAATCTGAGTGTGTTCCAGGTGCCCTGTGCATGATATCGAGGTATAAGATGGGGCCTCATAGAGTGTAGCCAACAGAGGAAGAGTTGGACCTGAGTGTACTGCTTGATCATAGAATGACCATGAGCTACCAGTGGTATTCAGATGCGAGAGAGGCAACACTAAGCTGAGATGTATTAGGCAGGGTGTTTTTAGTAGAGGCAAGGAAGTACTGGTACCAGTGTACAAGGCAGTAGGCCCCATTTAGAATATAGTGCACTGATCATTGATGTTAAAAATCAGTTAATTTAAAGTAGAATAGGTCTAAAGAAGGGCTACTAGGAAGGTTAAGAGAATGGAGAACTTACCTTATGGGAGGGGATTAATAGAGTTTAGTTTTAGTACAGCAAAACTGAGCGTGAGAAGGGATATAATAATTTCTGTGAATACATTGGTCAGGTAAATGTTGGGAAGGAAGTACGGGTACTACTTAAGTACCAGTGCAAGGTCAAATGGATAAAAACTGATCACAAATGAATGTAGGCTCAAAGCAGAGTGGTCAGGGTAAGAAACCTGATTTGCTTCATGATGGAGCTTGAAGAGTTGATGGAAAGGACAGTACCACAGGATGGGGTATTCTTAGAGCAAGAAGTGGCATCAAGTATTTGCTATTCCTAGGATTGGGTTGAAAGGAAACCTTTCTGTGCAGGAGGTGTCTAGTAAACTCCCATGCTTCAGGGCTGCTTCTGGTTGCCTGTTTTGAGGCCAGGAAGAATTTTCCTCCACCCTTCCCCTCCACTTCTCCCCATGTCAGGGCATTATTTGGTTTCTGCTGTTTATATTCCTTTGAATTATTGGACATTGACCATGGCTGAAGGTGGGAGTTTGACTGGGGTGCATTGGTGCTGTTTACCCATATTTAGAAATCATTTGGGCATCCGGGGTAGGGGAGGTGTGCATCTTGTTCATGTACTCAGGATCGAACTGGTTTGTCAGATTTGGGGCCAAGAAGGAATTTTCCTTCAAGGCAGATTGGCAAAACTGTATGTGGGTTTTTATTTTTTGTTGCCTCTTCGTGTACTGTGGGGCACAGTCCTCTTGTTAGGTTAATATATACTCAGATGATTAAAAATGGATTCCCTGCCATTGCAAGGGCAAGGCATTGGTACTGCCCTTGTGTCCTCTCCTGCTCATTGGTGGCAGGTTAAGGGGTTTGTGTTTTTTATCATGCACTTGCAGATGATATGTGAAAGGCATCAGAGCAGATGATTTTGTGGATCCTTTTGGTTGCCTGTTAACACAGGGGGCTGGACATAGTGTCCCAGGAGGCCTCTTTCATTCCTATAGCCTTATGTTCCTATGTAGGAGTCTTAGGGGAGGCCGAAAGAGCAAGAAAGCATGATGTTGTCAAGACCGAAACCTGGAGAGTCTGAGGCGGACCTGCTGCAGTTCCAGAACCAGTTCCTGGCAGCCAGGGCATTCCCAGCAGCGAAGGTTGTGAAGAAAGCAGACAAGAGGAGAGGGGATTCAGGGAGTGGAGATGATGGGAGACCCCCACTGCAGGACAGCAAGGATGTGGTGATGCTGGATGGTAACGTCCTTCTTAGTTACATCATGTTGTTATAGATGCCTTCCTGAGGATAACCATCATAATCCCCCACCCTGCCGTATGTCAGCACATGGCTTGCTTTATCCCTTCACTGCCTTCCTTATCCTTACTGTCCACCTGCTTTCCTCCAGCCTTTCATATCCTCCTAGTAGAACTCTTCATTTATTTTTGTATATCTTCAGGGAAGCACTCTTAAGTGACTTGTCTGATTTCATTTGCCTTTGTGTATAGCCACTGGAGTGGTCTCTGCCCCTCTTTGATGTTAAACACAATCCTTTGCTATCTGTAGCATCTCCGTATCTATTCTCAATGCAGCAGGCATTTTTTTGGCTTGATTCATTGTAACTATATCAGTGGTCTCATTGGCATAACACCAGCTGTTTTACCCTTATTCAGACCCTTTCCTCAGTACCTCTGAGGTTTAGGTCTGCATGCAGTCCTAGCCAGCATCTAGGTTGTTATTCATTCCCTTCTGTAATACCATTAGCTTGTACCAATAACAGTTATACCAATTCATAGATTCATTGATGCTAGGGTTGGAAGGGACCTTAACAGATCGTCGAGTCCGACCCCCTGCCTAGGCAGGAAAAAATGCTGGGGTCAGATGACCCTAGCCATAGATTCATAGAGACTGTTTAATAATCTAAGAAGCTCATGGTGATTTCTTAACAGCACTGATTAAATCTCATAACCCTTGGTAGGGTAGGGAAATATTATCTCCATTTTATAGATGGAGAAGCTGAGGCATTGACTTGCTTAGTGTTCGGGAGCTGTAACAAGAAGCTCCGCCTGGTCTGATTGGCCAGCTGAGCTTTGTCAGGCTCTGTATGCCTGCACACCATCCCGCTGGTTGACAGGGGCAGCAAAACCCCTTTGTAAGCCCAGTTGTGGCAGTGGGTTGCAAGCTGCTCAACACTTGTCTTTCAGTGTGTTTTCAGCTTTTTCTCCTGATTTTTGCTTTATGTCTTGGGTTTCTGTCTGTTGGTGTGTAACCCTGACCACTACCCCCCGCCTCAGGGTAGATTCTGATTTTGGCTCTTGCAGTTGGGTCAGACCACTTGTATGTCAGTGGTGTAATACTCGGGGTCACAGAGAAAGTCACTAGCAGAGCTGGGAATAGAACCTTGGCCTTCATAATCCTACGCTTGTGCTGCTGCCTGAAGAACAGAGCTCCTTCAGTATCTTGCCTCATCTCATGTGAACATTGCTCTAGCGCCCATGTCCTTCCCTTGCTCCCTCAGTGCCCTTCTGTCCTTACACAGCTCTGAAAAAGTCTTATTGCCTCTAATAAAATCCTTGAGCACACAGATTCATACCTTCTGTTACCCAGAGCGACTGGATCTTCCTTATCATTATCTTGTTCAGACATATTAAAATACCTGAATGACATTCCTTGTTTTGCATACCAACTCCCCTGTGAAGAAAGTTGCTGTGGATTATGCATAGCTTGGAACGGTACACAGGGTTTCTTTAGTTTGTTTTTGTTGTTTTTGCCTTAGATTTTCCTGATGAACCCCCAGCCTTAACACCAGCCCCTCCAAAGAAGACCAAGTTAAAAAATGCCTCTGTCCACTTTGATGGTGAGGATTCAGCAGATATACTGGAGAGCCATGATCAACACATCACAGTAGTCTTCAGCAAAATCATTGTGCGTCTTACTGTTGCCCTATGTTGTATGTTTTTTTTTAAAGCCGAGAAAGGAGGTGGGGTTAAAGGCTGTTGTCCCTGTGCTAGAGTCTTTCCTGAGGCTTGTTGTCCTAATGTTCAGATATTAAGTAGTTGAAGTATTTTTGTGCATGTTTGTGTGGTTTCTCTAGTTCCCTGTGTTTCTTTTTGCTCAGGAACGAGACACAAGCACAGCAGCTGTGACCATGCCAGTGCCCACTGGAGACCCATTTCCTAGGACATTTCATCGCTCTGAAGTAAAAAGCGAGGTAAAAAAATGAACTCGGGTTTGGCCAACCTGTGACATGGATGCCACAAGTAGCATGGGCAGTCTCTGGGTGTGGCATGTGGTTGACTGGGAAGGGAGCAGAAAGCAGAGCATCAGATCAGGGAGGGAGCACAGGACAGGAAATAAATTGGGCAGGGGTGGGGAATCAGAGTGGCATTTGGGAAGTGTCATGACATGTCTATCCAAAAGATTCATCCCCACTGGCAACCTATCTCTTCCTCACCATCTTTGTTAAGTGCTATGTGAAGCCTTACCATGTGCTGGGGACTGGGAACTGACTGCATGACTATGGAATTTCTTCCTCAGCACAGGACAGTGCTGTCCTGCCAAACTGGAGTCAGGAAGGTGCTTTATATCCTACAATTAAATGTGATTGAATTCCCCTTCATTGAAAAAGAGGGAGCTCCCTTGGAGCTGTTTGTTGTGAAAGTGGAAGGGAAACCAGATCTTTATCTCTGACCACAAGAAAGAGCCTGTTTTGTCTTGCTCTCTAATCAGAAAAAGAACCATGTCAGGTTAATTAGACTTGAATACCTGTAGGGTTTGTACCCAGTTCCCCAGGGGCTGACACTTGCTCTCAGAGGTGTCCTGGATGCACTTGCATTGGTGTTTGTTGCAGTTTTCTGGGGGTTTGATGTGTTTAGACCTAGATCTTGATTTAAAAATGAGAACCTAGAGGTGTGGCAGGTTCTGTCAGCCTAATGTTTGCACTATCAGGAGCTGCTGGCTAAGGAAACAACACTGAGTGAGAGCAGGATTCATTACCCTGGGAAATGACATGATTGATTGAACTGGTGCATCTGAAGAGATGGCATATTTTCAAGAAGGCTGTTAAAAAGGAGCAAATTCAATAAACGACCACGTTTGTTTCGATACATATGGCATTGAATGGAAACAGATGTTTACAGTTTTGTTGTAAATATTCTGGCTGCTATTTTTTAGACACACTTCTTCCACCACTAGGCAGGAGACATGGGCATTTTCAGTGCATTGCAAGCATGGATTCCTTGTGTATCAGTTAGAAGTACAGAGCCTTGCCTCTGTTTAGCATGAGCAGTACATTAATTTAGCCAGGATTATTTTAGCATCCCTCGCCCACTTCGTACTGTGTAAATCTTTTCACCAGTCTGGTAATCTTGTAAGAAGCCTGTTTGGAGCCTGTGGTGAGAACAGTACAACCCTATTTATTCTGACTTATACAAAACATTCAGATAAGCAGGGTTTTGGATTTGCAGGAGAGCTTGAGCTATTGTTTGCACTGATGCTTAGGTGTATCTGCTTTTTAGTTAGCTATAATTCACCTATAATTAAGCCCGCTGGCCTCTCTAGGCAGTAAGTAACATGTACGTTTTGTCCTAACTTTTAGCAATAAAACGGAAAACCAGTTTACTTGTAGCAAAGAGGGAGGGCTAGTTCCAGTGCTTTTCTCCATAAATGTCACAGCCCAAAACTCTGTTTTGAGGTTTTTACTTTTTGAAATATGCATTGCCTATAATGGGAATGTGGGGGAGTCTGGAGAAGAAGTAGTGTTGAACGTGGCATCTTATCTCTTCCTTTAGGTGAGGTTGGGATCTGGAAGGAAAAGTATCTTTGCACAGAAGATAGCAGCTAGGAGAGCTGCTGAAGAGGCTGTGACAGCTCCACCTGCTGTTGAGATGAGACGTGTGCACACAGAATTAATAGTTCCTAGTGCCATGCAGCAGATGGGTGGATCGGTAAAGGAAGGGCCACTACACAGAGCAGAGAAAGGTGAGTCATAGGGCTTCTGCCTGTCCCAGGTATAATGCTTACTGAAATTCCAGTCTGAACTTTTGGAGATGTTTTAAGAGACTTCATGGAGCAGATGAAAAAGGTTAAATCCCTGAAAGTTGTTTGCAGAGTGGCCCATGAACCAGTCCAAGGACCTAATTAAATGCCTACTTAAAATGAGAATTTTGTACTGCTGCAAGGGTGAAATAGAATGACCCTTTCTTTATAAAAGATCCTGTGGAGGCAGTCAGAGAGGAGACTTGGTTTCCTGTGAGCCATCTGATGGAGTCCTTTGACACATTTACCTTGTCCGTCTAGGAGCAGGAAGTACCTGGATCAGCAGCCCCTAAACTTTAAAGACAATTGCATCTCTTTAGCAGGTTTGCATCTGTTAGTGCCTAATACCAGCTTTTTAATGTGTGCTGTGTAACGTGTATATTCAATAGAGCAGGTGCTGGAACCTGGGTTTCCTGGGTAAGCATGCTGACTATCAGGCTATAGAGTTATTCTCATTCTGTTGGCCCAACAAATATTTAATTACTTCATCCAGTGTGGAACAGCTTTAACATGAGGGCCTGAGAAGAACCCCGCTCCTGGATGCCCTATAGCTCAGTGGTTAGTTAAGTGGGTTCGGGTTGTCTTTGGCAGAAGAAATGAACCCAGATCTCTCCTGTCCCAGGCAAGTGCCTCTACTAAAGGGCTATTGAGTTAGAGGACACTACTTTCAGTCCACATCTCCTATAGCTCCTGTTTTTTCTGAATGGTGCCCATGTCTAACCCTTCATTTTCATTGCTTTGCTTTTTGCCTTGGGACAAAATGGAAGACCAAAATTTTTTCATGTTTGGTTGAATTTGACATGAAAAAAATTTCTTTTTTGGTTGGGCCGCCTAACCGAACAAAGAATCATTCCTGAGGTCCTAACTGAAGAGAGAGGCTCTATGAATGAATAATGCTGGAGACATTTACATCACTAATAGTTCTAATTTCTGGATCTTCTAGATAAACCTGGTAATTTTGTGAGCACTGAGCGACCTTGTATTATAACTGGAGAGGGTCTTAGAAGCTTCAAGAGTGAGCAGGAAGCACAGACCATCCACCGGGAGAACCTAGACAGGTTACAGTCCATGTCCCAGGAAGAGATTCTGCAGGAACAGAAGAAGCTGCTGGCTCAGCTAGGTACGTACGCTATGGGCTAAATGCACAAAGGGACTTCGGTACTGCACCATCTTCCAGGTATCCCTGCCACCTTGTTGAATTCATAGCTCCAAGGTAGGTGTCCACAGTTCCCTTAAATATGCGGGCAAATTTTGTGAAAAAGAGAAGCAGAAACATAAGTGGACAGGTGCCCAAGTGAAGTGATAGAAAATGCAGGGGACGGGTAGGCTGAAGTCCACAAAGATAATGAGGTGTCTAGCTCTTTGTGCAGTTTCAGCAGCAGAGGCTGAGAGACTCAGCCCAGACAACCCAGGAGCTTGGAGGTTAGAGGACATGTCTGGGGTTTGGGAGTTTTGGATTCAAGTCCCTGCTATGAACTGGGCAAAGTAGGGATTTGAAAAGAGGTTTCTTGCCTGTCTGATGGGCTGTTGAAGTGTGTGCACATGAGCTAGTATCTCATCCTGGGCTGTCTTTTGGCCAGGGCTCTGAAAGTGTCTGTTGGATCCAGCGGTGCAAGTGAAGTGGCTGTAGAACATCTAGTCTAAGAATTCTGCTAGGGCTCTGAGGAGCCTGATGGTGAAAAATGATATGATTTTGTACATGCCTCTCAGCAGAAACTTGGGATGCTGGTGCCTACCAGGTTAGGTGTCAGCTTAGACTGGGTTTTGAGGAATTTACTGGTGCTTAAATGTTGGATTTAGGCCTCTAACTGGTTCTTCAGGTTCCTAGGTCAGCATGGATTTAGCCTAAGGAATCCTACATGTGAGCATGTACGTGTGGCTTGTCCATACTGGTGGTTGTTAGAAGTGCTGAACAGACTACAAAAGGGCAAGTAAATAATTGCAGCCAAAATTGCTGGAAGCACCATCGACTCAGGGAGCTGAGCTGTTCAAATTTCAGGCAATTAAAATCTGTTTTTAACAAAGGTGTATGAAAGAAAATGCTTTCTTTGTGTGACTGATATGGTAAACTCCCACCTCAGAACCCTCCTGATTTTATGAAGGCAAAAGACTTGCAATGTTTTAAAAAGGATTGCACAGTTCTGGAATAAAAATAGTATCTTCCTATGCACCATGTAGGATAAAATCACCAGAGCTTTTAATTCCAGAATTAAGGGAACAAAACTGGAAGAATTTGTAGATTGATTTTGCACTAAAAATTATGCTTGATGTTTATGAAGAACCTGGATATTTGGGCTCTTTGCTGGGCAGACAAAAGGGATGAAGTAAACGTGAACATTGCAAGGCTTCCAAGTCCAACCATGCTGTGCCGCCTTTCTGGGTTTGGAAAACCTTTGCAGCTATCTGTACTGGGGATTCTGAAGAGGTATAACCCAGTTATGACTTGCTGCCTCCAGGTTGGCATAATCAGTGTCTTGTGAATGATATTTATGCAGGTGACTCTCAGTGACTAATGCAGCCTCTTCTTTGTGTACAGGGAAGTGCTTAAAGCATGACTTGGCTTGCACTCAGGAAAAGCATGGGACTTGTAATAAGTGTTGGCCCAGAGTGATCCCTCACTGATAGAGATTTCAGACTCTGTGTGTGTGCATGTGTATAAGAGAGGTTGTGGTAATTATGGGTGTGGGGTAGCTCATGATAACCCAGCTTTCACTTCTTTCTTTTTACTGGAACCAAAACATGGAGTACATTTATCTGTTTAGTGATAATTTCCAGATTACAGAGAATTTCCAGATAACTTGTGTTTTCTCCCTTCATAGAATAAATATCATAATTACTTGAATGCAAGATGAAGCTTTTTCCCCCTTGTCTTGGATTCAAGTATAGGGGAGGGTAGCAGGAGCTGTGGCTTCAACTCTGATTCTTACCCTGACCTGGGGTTGGGGTCAGTCAGACCCATGCCTGCCGTGTTGCCCCATTTCTCCCCCACCCCATTCCTACCCTCTTTCTTCACTGCCTGCCTACCTGCAGCTTCTGCTTACTCTCTGGCTTCAGCCTAGGGCACAGAGCATATGGTTGCTCCTGCCTGGTAGGAGTGGCAGCAGTCTGACCTGGGCTCTAGTACTGGGATGGAGCTGCTGCCACCACAATGGCTGCTGCATGGCCTGATCAGGGCCAGAGCAACCTTGCCCTCTGTGCTTCAGGTTGGAGTGAGGCTGGAGCCCTGCCACAGCTGGAGCTGGAAGATAAGTGATAGGGAGGGCAGAGGCAGTGGGGGACAAGGCACTTGGGTGAAGGCGTGGGGTGGGCAGATGCCAGGGGTGGAGGCATGGTGGGGGGCAAGTGGCAGGGGAAGAAGGGAGGGCAGGTGGTGGGGTGCACAGACCTGGGGGACAGGGAGCAGGGGGACGAGTGATGGAGGGGATAGGCTGCAGGGGGAAAGGTGTTTGGGGGGGTCAAGGGGCAGGGGTCAGGCCACTTAACCCCCACTTACTGTTTCCCCCACCACCTGCTCCGTGCCACTGCTTTCCATTCTGCAGTGGTGGGGGGTACACATTTGACACCCTTCAATAATTTGATTTTATACATGGAGAACTAAAACAATTTTTCCATGTATAGAATCTAATTATTGGGGAGTCATCTTAAATTCAGTCATCTTTGATTTGGCTAAGTACAGTAACTAGTGTTATGGCTGTTTTCTAATAATGAGTTCTTCTATCTCTGCTACCTTCTGTGGGGCAATCTCTGTACTTACAAGCATACAGGGAGTTGAATCTTGCCACACTCCTAAAAGGAACATGACTGTTATAGTCCTCATTTTACAGAGGTGAGGGGCCTTGCAAAAGCCTACATGGTGAGTCCATAGCAGAGATTGGAATAGAGCTGGGATCTCTTGACTGACCTCTATTTAAGCCACAAAAAGTTCTGTCCTCCAGACACCTTCCTCCTACTCCAAATCATGAAGAGAGCATCCATTTTTATTCTCTGGGAGCTGAGTGAACCATAGTTAAGAGGGATAATCAGCTAGTCCAAACAGAATAAGAAGTCCCTCAATTAGGACTCAGAATTTGAACTGAAGTTTTATTGTGGCTCGTTCATTAGAAGATGGGCAATTCTTATTATGATGCTCTGTTCTTTGTATTCATGTAATGCTCATAACGATGCGTTAGGAAGGGGTAGAAAGCCAGATCTGAGGTTGCCTCATGGACAAGAGAGCAGAATTTTCTCCCTAATGTATAACCCCCTTTTTAGTAACCAAGGGGAAAAATGACAGTTTACATTTGCATTTTGGGAAAATAAATAGTTTAGGTCACTGCTTTGCCTTGACATTTATCAATTCTGTCCATTTATCACCTCTGCACCCAGTTTTGCCAAACTTACATGATCAAGAAGTTCTAAAGCAGTGAGTGGGGGGCAGTTTGAGAAGATTTGGCAAGTGATTTGGCAAATAGCCAAAGAAATAAGGGTGTTTGGACCTGGGAAGAACTATAGGAGCTGGACTGAACAAGTAATTTGAGAGTTAATGTCACTGTTCTGTTTCATTTTTCACAGATCCCAATTTAGTTGCTTTCTTAAAATCAAAACATGTAGCTGATGGAGGTGAGAAGAAAGAATTAATCACAGAACAGGAGGGACCAGAGGAACCTGGACGCCAAGAATCTGGGCCTGAGTCACAGCATGGTGCAGAGGAAACTGTGGAAGCTTCTTCCATGGAGAGGTCAGACATGGAGGAGACCACAAGGGTTGAAAAGGACACTGGAACGGGAATCACAGGTAGCAAAACTTGTGCTTGATGACCAAATTCTGTGGCAAGGCTTGCCTGGCTTCTGAATCATGCTGGCATGGAGTTCTGTGGTAATGTTAATTGCCCACATTTGAGTTTGACGGGAGGTTCTTAATTGTGTCAAATTTTGGGTTTGAAAGAAACAGCTAAGCTTGATTAAACGGGTGGTATTCTACATAAACTGTGCTGTTATAAAGACCAGCATGAAATGTCAGAAGTCGGTCTGAAATTTGCAAGAAGAAAAGCATTTTATTCCCTGAGCTTCTTCACTCTTCTGTGATGTGAATGAGGTAAGGGAAGCATGCTTTTCCTGGTTTCCTTTATTTTGCATTACAAAGGCTGGTTCTTGAAGATCAAATGGAGAGGTGAAGGTCCTAGGGCAGGGATGCAGTTTCTTGGTGTAAATGATGATCCTAGCAACATGAGTTTCTGAAACGCATCGGAGTCACAGGGATGGCCACCCCTAGGGCACTCCACTGTCTGGCCTACCACACCTTGATGGATAATAAATTAAGAGGGATGCTGTCCCCAGACCTTTGCTAGGCCTCCATCCCACTGGTCTTATTACAGAGGCTCAGCCGGGGGCCTCTCAAGTGCCCCCACGGGACATCCAATGGGGCCTCCAGCTCCCGTACAGCTTCTTCCACAGGTTCCCACTGAGATGTTTACCCCTCTAGGTCAGTGGATATTTTGGAATTAGGTTCTTTTGGCCTACTGCTGTGGGCTTCTCTTTAAGTGGTGCTTTAAGGCGCATCCCATAATGCTACCTTACCTTTTATTCCTGATTCCCCACCATCCAGTGCATCCATTCCTTTCTTCTGTCCATACCCCACAAAAGATCCTTTACCTTTTCTCTTCTGTGTGGCGATGAGGGCATTTGTAAAGTCTCGGTTTTTCTTCCTTTCACAGAAAGGAAGGGGGGCAAGTCTCCTTTTCTTCCTTTTCCCTGTAGAAAGGAGATATGGAACTGGAGGTTGGAGTAAATCTCTGTCTTCTCTACTCCTAGTCATTTCTCTCCATTGCTTGTAAAAGGCAGCAAGCAGCCAGCAAGGTTAGGAGGAAGGTGATGATGCCTGGAGCGGCCGGACTGCCAGCACAGAGTAGGTACCCTGAACTTAGTCTCAGCCCAGGACAACCTTAACCTCAGCAGAGGTGGTGTGCAGGCCCATTGTGCTGTTATTGGATTTGTGAGCCCACCAGTCCTCTTTGGTTCTAATGCCTATTCCTATTTCACTTGAGTTGGTGGGTCTCCGCTGAGGTTATAGTGGACAGGCAAAGGATTAGCACATTTGTGCCATTACTTCCAGCCATACTGCAAGAAGACATGAATGAGCATGGAGACTGAAATACCTGCTTGCCGTAGGTTAATGTTACAATACTGTGGGGAAGCTTGTGCAGCTGCTGCATGTTACCCCTGTCATCTTGATAAAGAGGCATGTCCAGGACCTTTACATTAGTGTTGCATTCATTTCGACAATAGCAGCTCTTTTCCCTTGGGCGTCTATTCCCAGCCCCCTCCTCCTCCCCTTTTTCCCCTCTTTTACCTTTCTCCATCACATTGCCAGTGTTTTCTCCCTTCCCTCAGCCCTAGTTGTTTATCTCTCCCTCGCTAGCCTACTTTTCCTGTTTTAAGTTCTTCCCTTGCTGTCTCCATCTCTTGATCTTCTCTTCTGATGTGTTCTTTGTGCTCTCGTGCAGTGTGCAGGCTGCCTAATGAGATCTTTGAATCGCTCCTGGATTTCAGCAGTGTGTTTTGGTGAGATAACAACAGCATTTGCCATTTCCTTGAAGAGAGAGGTGTGTGTGCATGTGGGGAGGAAGGTCAGGGGAAGGAAAACTGATTAGTTTCTGCTGAAGGAAAACCCTCACCCTGCAGTTCTTCAGCTTGTTTTTCTGTAACAGTTTTATTTCTCTCCGGTTCTTGACTTCCATCAGCCGTAATCAAAAGGGCTATTTTTAGCTCTTCAATTTCAGAATAATTGAGTGCATAGGAGCATTCTATTATGTAGCCCAGGTTTTTTCCCACCTTCATGCCAGGCAGTAGCAGAAATTTGGTGTTCAGTATTGGGATCTTTAAAGGTTAACCAAGGTTGTAATGAAGCTCTTGGGATTGGTATGATATTCAGGAGTTCACATCTTGGGAGGGGTGTAGGAGGGGGAGGTCCTGTCTTCTTCTTAGAAGACCAAATTGGAATAGAAAAGGGAGTTTCTGTAGAAGACTTGATACAGCAAAGAGAGGAAGAGCAGGAGAGCAATTATAAAAATCAGAGAGGCATTCCCAGCTGCCTGGGGTTATGCATGCAGCATGTCATGCTTAGCAGGGGATGTAAAGTATTAATTTTGCATTAGCATTTAGCATTAGGAAGTTGCTACTGCTGATGCCATAAAGTAAATCCATTGCTAGTAAAGCAGTGGGAGTGCTAATTCTGAATTCCATGGGGAGAGGACAGTTGGGTTCCATTCTAAAGTAGGGTGAAAACTTCCTCCTCCATTAGGTAAAAGGCTTCAGTTTCTAACCAAGTTGATGCTGAGCTGTTTGCCCAGCCTTTTGTAATCCCATCAGACAAAAATATACCTCTTGGCTCTGGAAAGGGGAGCTGGGAGGGGATGAGGGTAGAGAACGAGAGAGCTTTGTAACCCTTAATGTATTGTAAGGCTGGAAAAGTTCTGTACATATGCTGCATTCAAACTGCCAGCTTGTGTTTCTGTAAAGGGATTTCTCAGTAATTGAACAATCTGCTGATGCCTTGGAATATATATTCGTCTTTTCCTGTTGACAAGATTGTAATGTTAGAGTCTGTCGGTAGCATTCGTAATCCTATTCATAGTGCGATTAAATCAACCCTATCAACTTAGTGATTAATAGAGAGGGAGAAAACAAATTGTTGAATTAGAAATGTCAATAGATTTCAGTTTTCTGCCGATTTTACTTCCTCTTGTTTCACACCCCACCCACAAACAATCCCCTCTTACATTTCAGATGCTTTTTTCTTCAATTAGAATTCACGCTGAGCCTTTGGCTGGAGCTGTGTGGAACAGTTTTCTGGCTGGGGTAGATAGCTCTGTGCTTGGTTCGTTGCCTGAGTCAGTTCTACATTGATCATGAGTGTGTGGCTGTATCCTAGAAACTATGGAAGCTTTTTTTGAAGGTTAATAAGCCAGAAAAGGAACACGTTAGGTTTCAGGTCAAATCCGCAGGAAATGAGAATTCCATGTGACCCATTGTTCCTTGAGCTCCAGGGCATCAGGTTTAGCAGCAACCTCGTAAACAACATCTTCAAGTCCCAATCTTGTTTTGTTCTCATAGAACCGTGTTCCTTCTCTTTTGGTAAGCCCTCAGTCTTCTGGTCAAAGTGCTTGCTCCAGCTGTGTAGCCCTAACGTATGAGCGCGTATGGTTTCTCTGATAGAATCTAGGGATGGCAAACACTTGTTATCTCATCTGTTCCCAGCCAGCATGTGATAGCTTTCTCTCATACCTTTGTCTGCAGTTAATTGAGGCTCCAATTACATGTCCCAGGTGAGGGGACCACCCAGCATAATCTGTGAATACTATTATAATGTTGTTTATTTCCTTTCTTATATCTTGTGAAAGATTAAATCTTTTGACAGATGAGGGTTTTTGGGTAAATCTGATCTCTTTTGTAGATAGATATATCTTTTTTATAAAAGAGAGAGGCAGACAAGGTTCTTTGGGTAAATCGAATGTCCTTAGACCTACACGGCTACAACCTACACCCCTGTAAATCTTTTGAGGTTTATGCACTGACAAAGAGTCAATTTGTAGATGGTTTCTTCTTACTGTGTATGAAACCTGTATTTTAAGTACTCTCAGAACCATGTTGTAACAGTGTTTGCCTTTATGCTGAGGAAGGGTAATGCTTCTGTTTTTTTCTTACCTTTCAAAAGATGACCTTCCTGTGAAGCCCAAGAAGGAATGGGTCCACATGGATAATGTGGAGTTTGAGAAGTTGGAGTGGATGAAGGATCTGCCCCATCCCCGTCAGAGGAGAATTAAAAAGGTTCAGAAAATAGAAAGTGTTATTTTTCTTATTTTGGTTGTTTGTGGGATGTGTGGTTCGTGTTTGTGAAGTCTTCAAAGACTAATAGTGCTGGGAAGTGAGTCTTCTGTTCTTCAAGCTAAGTGATGCCAACAGTGGCATTTCTCCAAATCTTTCATGGGGGAGACTAATTTGTTTCATGTAACATGAGAATCTGGTTACTGTATTCATCCTGTTTTAGCTCTTCCATGGTACTGTGTACAGATAAATGGGGATTAATCTGGAGTTGAGGTGGGAATTCAGTTTCTAATGATTTTGAGATGTCTGGGAAATGGAAGTTTATGGGAACTGGAATATTTGGGGAAAAAACTCTTAAAGTTAAGAAAGAAGGCTAAGTAGGATCAAGAAAAGTAACTTTGGATTTTGTGGGTACTGTCAGGCGAGGGGCCCCTTCCCCCCCACCCAGCACTTTACTGAAAGAGGCAGCATGTTAGTTTGACCCAATTTCCCAGTGTCTGTATAGATTGGGCCCTTCAGCAGGGCTTTTTAGCACTTTTTTTATGGAATAGCTGATTCAATCAGCTATTAGATAAAAGTGCCAACAAGCTCTGTTGAAGGAGCTGATCTATACAGATTGTTGGACAAGCCAGGTCCAACTAATGCAATGCCTCTTCTGGGCATGTGCTGTGCTTGATGCAGGGGTGTACCGATCTTAAAGTGCTGTTTTGTTTTGTGTGTGGGGTTTTTTTTCACGCCTGTGAGTTTAGGTTTTGGGAAATTTGTGAGCCAAGAGCATATAACTATTTTGAGGAATTAGGATTTAGGAGGTGGATGGGAGTGGAAGGCAGTAAAAGTAATCTCTCTCTCTCGGCTCTCTCTTCTCTCAGGGAATGCTAGCCAGGTTTAGTTTGAAGGGAGACTTGATTCCTCCAGATATAGACTTACCTACTCATTTGGGCCTACATCATCATGGAGAAGAAGCAGAAGTAAGTACAGACCAGAATAAAGAGGAAATGTCAAGAGAAGAATATTACTTGAATTTCCAGGTTTAATTCTCAAGATTCTTTTTGTATCAAGGCTTTCTAGTATGGACACTTAAGAGTTCATAGGCAAATGACTCTCTGTTCGGTAAGGACTCCAGAGGAGAAGTCATAATAGATTGGTTCAACTTGTTGTTTTTTGAAGATGCAAAAGTTTTTTTTCTTAAACTTCATTAATGCTTTCACCTTTTGACAGTATAGCTAGTTGCAAAAGAAAATGAACATTTTCACCTGCACACTGTTTTACCTATTAAGATATAGATTGTCTGTAACTGGTTACATGAGGTAGAATCTCTTCAGTAATTTGCATAAAGCATTACTCACAACTTTGCAGTGCAGTTAGTCCCACGTGCTACATAACATTTTTGGAATGAGCTGTGCTTTAAATAGCTTATTTTATCTGTTGTTGGTTTGTCTGTGTTTGTTCGTTTTTCTTTTTACCCTGTTTAGAGGGCTGGCTACTCCCTCCAAGAGCTCTTCCATTTGTCTCGCAGTCAGGTCATTCAGCAGAGGACGTTGGCACTGCAGGTACTGGGCTGTATTGTTCAAAAGGTGAGCAAACAGTGGGTGGAAATTTCCCTCTTATTTATACTCCTGGTAGTATCAGGGCGCAGAGTCCTGGGTATGATATGCTCGTTCTCCTCTGTGCGGGCAGCACAAATCATGTAAACGTTAGCCAGGCATCTTCAGCAGAGGATTTCCCTTAGGAAGGGGAGCTCCTTAGTGGTGTCTAGGTGGCAGGACCAACTCCTGGCTCAGTTTTCCTTCCTACCCAACTGGGTGGCTGTGGATGCATGGCTGCTCTAACCACCGTGGGGACTGGACCAGACCTGAAGCTCAGGAGAGCTTGACTATGGGAGAACTGAGCATCAAGTATCTTCAGAAGTTGTTCAAAAGGGCTGTTTAGTAGGGTCATATTTCCTACTTGGGGGGGGTTGGGGGAAGGGAGGTGGGTCCAGAGCTTCATCTGCATTAAGCTGTTTTGTTGTCAGTGTGTGAAAAAAAACCTGTTGTTGATGTGCTGACCCTTTCACTTCTGTTGCCTGAGCCAACCCGGTGACATGCTTGTTCTGTGGGAGGTGAGAATGAACCATCCTACTCGTAAAGCAACATTGCCAGCACCAGAAGGCGAAATGAATGTCTGCTTTAATGGAAAGCAGCACACCTGCCTACCTGATTTCTAGGGAAAGTGCTCATGTTTCCTCCTACAGTGCATGACGCACAGAAGTTATAATATAATGATGTTGGGCTGGTTGGGTCAGCAGATGGTAGGTCCAGAATTTGCATCATTTGTGAATGTCATTATGATGCTATTTGCTTCCTCTTCTAGATCTTACGAAAGATTTAAAATGACTGTAAATCTCTTGATGCTCATGTACCAGTAGAGAGTCAATTTGAAGATAGTTTTCCCCTTGTTTACACTCAACCAAAAGATTTGTTCTTTGGGGTGAGGAAAAAGGAGTTGTTCACCTACCAAAATGAAGGGAAAGGAATAAGAAATAAAAGATGAAGCATTTTCTTACTCTTCCTGTCAGGGCCATCCCTGGGGGGGTGGTGAATCAGGGCGACCTCTCCAGGCCCCACGCTTTGGGGGGCCCCGTGGAGCTAGGCGGAGCAGCAGCGGTGCATTCAACTGCTTGGTTGTCCATGTCGTCATCCCCCCGCGCCGTTGGCAACAACAGCTTCTTCAGGTCCATGACTGGAGTGGAGGCAGGGCTCTGCATGAGCTGATTTGCCCTTAGGCCCTGCACCCTGCTCGGATTGCCTCTGCTTCCTGTACTTCTAATATAAGTAGCAATTTAAGGTGTGTTTCCATGTACCTTACATGTCTTATTATCCTTGACACTGAGAAGGTGGATGGCATGTCTTTCAGGCCAAGGCAGGGGAGTTTGTCTCCTCCCTGAAAGGTAGTGTTCTGCGCTTGCTGCTTGATGCTGGATTCCTCTTCTTGCTGCGCTTCTCCTTGGATGACCCAGTGGATAATGTAATTGCAGCTTCCATCCATGCCCTCCATGCACTGCTGGTGTCTCCTGATGATGAGGTGAGAGAGAAAGAGATTTCCATGCTGGATTGATTCTGACTTGGGTGTGGGAATTGCAAAGAAAAGACCAAGTAAGTCACTTGGACCAGGTTTTGGTGGTCAACCAAGCATTAACACCAACACAGTACTGTTTTCATACTTTGTTCAGCCCAACTGTAAGCAGAAGAGCTTCTGCTCTCCCATGGGAGTCTTTTTCTCTATCTAATAGATTTCATTGGACAAAATGTTTTCCTAGCGTTCAGACTATTTCTACCTATCCTTACATTTAGCTCAAGACTACTGAGAGTCTCCATTCTTGGCAATTGCACAGTCCATATAATTCATACCCCCTATTTAGCCAGATTATTTGTATTAATTTTATTTAAATTTGACTTGTGAATTCAGTGGCATCCAACTTTTTATTGTGTTGCTACTGTTCCAGCCTGTGGATTGGCAGCCGTATGCCTTCCCCATTGTGCCTTATCCCAGCACAGTTGGCGTACTAGATCCTTTCCTCCCTCCATTTTCTCTAGTTCCCTCTTCATGCTTTTGGGTCAGTTTCTGTTATCCTTACACACATTTTTTCTGGGGTCTCGGTTATGTTTTCCTTTATCTAGAACTTTTTGACTCCTAAATGTAAGGAGAATGGAATACCAATTTCCTGAAGTCTCCACTCTCCAGACCTCCTCTCATTTGTAACCATGTCATCGACCTTTGAACTTTATCTTTTTCCCCATTACTTTTTTTGCGCCTGTTAATAGTTTGTGCTATAGTGACTTTCACCCAAGGTTTTTCAAGCACTTACAAACAAGTACCCAGCTCAGTCATCACCTTGTGAGACCAGCAATTAATGTCGTTTGACTGACTGACTGACCAACTAAGTCATAGAAATCAAAAGGGTAGAAATCATCAAGTAGTACAAGCCTCAAACTCAGTTTTCATTTGGAAAAAAACCCACATTTTTTGGTGTGGATGTAACACTTTCCGTGCAGTGCTGGAAGACCGAATATAGCAGCGTTGTTTAGAACCTGAGATGAAAACTCTCTAGTGTTTTCATTGCCCACCTTGAGAGGTTCAAAAAGTCAACAAAAAACATTAAAGAGCCCATTTAGTAATGATTATTAACAGTGCTATTTTAGGTCACCTACCGATGGTCAACACTGTGACAGACAAGAATAGGACCAAGAAAACTGACTTCCTGTGCTCAATCACTAGACAAGCAATTAATCACTCTCTTGCTCCTTATTTAAAATGCTTTTATTTCAGTGGGTGGCATCACTAGGTCCTCTCATCTGAGATGTGAGCTTTGTAAACATGCCGCAATTTCTTGTTCCTATTTTTGGGTCAGTTGGTTTGTATTTCAAAGCACTTTTAAAAATATTTCCCTTTTCCAGCCTTTCTTCCTCAAAATCTATTACAGCTGCTTTTCTTTTCTTAACAGAAGTACCTTGACTGGACTTTCTCATGGTACCAGGGGATGGCTGTGTTTCCCTTCATCCCTAATGAGGAGGAAGAGGAGGAGGAAGAAGAAGAAATGATGGAAAAGAGTCCAGGAAAAAAGTCAAATAATGAAAACAAACCAGATCCAGACGTGGCCCAGTATGATGTCATAAAGGTAAAGCCAAAGCTCTGGCCAGAATCTCTCCAGAGAAACATTTGCTGTATAGTAAGGCTATGTGTCCTGTTAAAGCTTTTACCAAGTAGGATATTTTTAACAAGTGGTCAGAACTATGCGCTGGCTTTTTGGTGTTGTGTTGCTGCCATTCGTTATTGGAGAAGTAGTTTTTCCTGTTAAGGTTGTGGTTTGATTGATGACTAATATGTCATACAATGTTCTTGAACCAGAGTGTAGGAAATAGAGACAAGTGCATCTCTGAATTTTCTTTTTCTTTTCCCTTCAGATTTTCTAAAATGTTGCATACAGACTTGAGTGGGTTAGGCTCATTCACTTTGTATTCAGAATGGCAGTATACGCATCCTCTAATGGTTAGAGATCTTCACAAGAGAGGGTGTGTATGTGTATGCAGGGAATTGAAGCTAGAGCAAGCTCTACATAGCTGGATTGGTACAGTGCATTCTAGTGGGTGTTTGTGCAGCATCAGTGACCAAGGTGTCATCTTTACTGATGCTGCATATCACCTAAGTTGAAACCACCCACTTTCCTCTTTATATTTGCATTTTGCAGTTAAATCCCTACAATGTCAATGTGTATTGCCATTTGCTTTGCTTTATCTCCAAGTTGAGACCTAAGAATACAGTCAGTTTTGTTATTTTAAAGTGATCTTTCCAAGTGATACTAGCACAACCATTTTGTTTGCTGTGGTCACATAGGTTCCTAATTGCAGTGTAACCCAAATGTTTACCATATTTACTTGAATCCAAGATGAGGGCCCCTCTTTCCCACAACATGGGGTACAAAAGCTTGTCTTTAGATTCAAGTACAGGCCCAGGGCAGGTGGGATGGCTTGTGTGGGTGGCATGTAGGGGTGACCTGCCTGTGTGGCTTGGGCAGAGCACAGAGGAAACAGTGCTCGCTGTCCCTATCCTTCCTCCCCCCATGTATTTTCTGTTCCAGCTCCAGCTTTGGCCCCTCCAGCCTTGACCTGGCTGGGCCCAGAGCTGCTGCTACTGCTTCTGCCCAACTGGGCTAGGCCAGGGCAACTGCTGCTAGCTGCCCTGGAACCAGAGCAGAGAAGTGGAAGGTAAGTAGCAGGAGCGGGGGGTGCAGGAAGTAGGGGTCAGGCACAGGTGAGAACAGATGGCCAAGGTCAGGCACAGGCAAGTGGGGGAGAGACGGGTGGTAAGGCAGGGCAGGCACAACCATTGGGGGGCAGGTGGAAGGTGGGACAGGCACTGGGGAAGAGCAGGCAGTAGAGGTCAGGGTCAGGTATGGGGGGGGCAGAGGACGTGGGGGGCAAGTGGTAGGGGATAGATATGGAGGTGCAGGAGGTAGGCAGCAGGGGAGCAACATGGTGGGGAACAAGAGGCAGAGGCGGCAGGCAATGCGGGAGGCACCCTGGCCCATCTGCCCTGCACCCAGCGCTGCGGAGGGAGCCCACATGGGCGGAGCACTCAGCTGGGTGGCTGGGATGGGGTTGCAAGTGGCCAGGGAGCAGCATTCAGGAGCGAGATGTGAGGTGCCAGGGAGACCCTGGGATTTTGGCGCAGTGACAGCGTGGGGATGGGGCCTGGGGCAGAGCTGCGATCCACTGCCCATGTGCCCCTGTGATGGGCACAGGTTCTGTGGGTAGGGGTGTGCCAGGAGCAGATCACTACTTTGCCCTGGGCCTGGTGCTGTGCTGTCACCATCCCAAGATCGTGACTCTGGCCCTGGACACAGCTCCCTGCCCACCTGTGGCCCCATCCCGTCTGCCTTGGCGTATCTGCCCACAAAGCTCCCAGCCTGTGGGCAGATAACACCCCTGGGATTGCAGTGCGGTGACATTGTGGGGCCAAGGCTTGGGTAGAACCCTGGTTTTGTAGGCAGGGACTTGCAAGGATCAAATTGTGGCTCTGGCCTGGCCCTGTGCTGTCACCTCCCTGTGATCCCATGAAGACTAGCCTGGACCCATGTAGGCAGGGTGCACAGCCAGGTGGGCAGCAGGCCAGGCAGGGAGCTGCATCTGGGGCTGGGATCTTGGGGTGGTGACAGTGAGGGGCCAGGGCAAAACCATGATCTGCTCCCCGCATGACCCTGCCCATGGAACCCGCACCTGTTGCAGGAGCGCGCAGGCAGTGGATTACAGCTCTGCCTGAGCTGTCACCACCCTATGACCCTACCTCGTGGTACTGGCCTGCCTGCTCATCCCACTCCTGAACACTGCTCCCTGCCCACCTGTGGCCCCATCCCACATAGGGAGTTTTGGTGAGCTGTTGCAGGGGGAAAACAGGGTGCTGACCCAGCCCAGCAAAACTCCCTATGTAGCCTGTGGGCCCAAATAATTGCCCACCCCTGAAATACAGTAATAATAGAACCTGGGATCAAAGCTGAGGAGAAATCATCTTCTGGTTTAGAATTCAGGAAGCTAAACTTGCAGGTCAGTATAATAGCCAGATCCCCGAAATACACTTCTTTGGTTTTGAATCTTTCATTGTGAGTAGCCTGAGGTCAGGGGAGACTTAGGATAAAGTTCTCTAATGTCCTGCTGTGTAAACATCCAGTCAACACCTGTTTTTTGGCTGATACAAGTGGATAACCAAGGGTGTTTGGCAGGAGCAAAGCAATTTTTTAAAAACACGCTGAACTCAGCCAAGCCTGGGATTGTGGCACTGACTGGCAGAGGCTTTTGAGAAAAGATCTGCACTAGGCAGTTCTGATCTTTAATGAGCTAGATGCCCATTTCACAGGCTGCCGAATTGCAACATGTAATGACACATTTGATTTGTGAAACCTCTTTCTGGATACTTTGATGTATCTAAAATGCACATTAATTCCTAGAACAGCTCTGGTGCTGCTGTGATCCTGGCCATCTGTGTAACATAACGCCAGGTCTCCTGCTACAGTAACAGAGTGTTTAATGGTTTAGCAGGTCTGTAAACAAACAAAAAAATCCAAACCATAAGGGCTGTATTCCTGTGTGAGGAGAAAGCAAAAGATACTGCTTCATGTGGAAGTTAAGGGGCTTTTTTTAGTCAACTCTTTAACATTTAAGAGTTGGATCTTCCTATTCTTATTGTATGTGTTTTTATTAAATGCCAGAACAAATTACTGTACCAAGATTTTAATATACTCCAAGAAATAAATAGGAAATTCCTAATATCAGTATCCAGAAATGAATGAACCTATTCCTGTAAATTGAACTTTGCTTCCTGGCTCTGCCACTGACTGTCTTCCTACTGTTCATCCCTGAAAAAGGCACCTCATCTCTGTCTGTGTCTCCATTTTTGTACCTACAAAAAGGAGGTAATTGTCCATTCTCTGCTTCTTTCATTTGCCTGTGACATCTGATACCAGCCACTGATAGAGACCATGTACTGGGCTAACTGGACCAGTTACTGGTCCTTTATGGTTCAGGAAGAGATGCTAGAACCTTTTCAGGCACATCGTTTCATATCTGTCTGTTATGGGGAAAGTTTTTTCCTATTCCTCATTGCTCAGTGGTGTCCTGAAGCAGGAGGGTTTGGTTTTCCTTTAAACTGATCTGAACCAGAATGGAAGATTGGAGTCTGCCAAACAGTACATATATTACACAATTAACTGGTTAATTACACAATAAATTTAGACCAGCGACATGTACAAAGTAATTACCATTCTATAAAAATGTCCATCCAGTTATAAAACAAGGCAACTAGCTACAAAGTTAGTGCTTGAAAACATGCAACAACTGTATACCTGATTTATAATCACCTTTAATTTGAACATGTGGCAGGGCCCTTAGCCACAGTTTTTTTTTTTTTTTTTAACTTGTTTGCCTCCATGCTGGTGACTCTAAAAGGTGATTTAAAATCCTTTTCCTCAAAAACGAAAAAGGATTTCCCCCCACCTCCCAATGGCTTCAGGAGAAACAGTTTGTCCAGAGTAAGTGTTAGGAGTATAAAGAGGCTTTTTTTTTCCCCTTTGTCTTCCAGGGACTTTTGAAGACCCGAATCCTTCACCGGCTGAGGTACATCCTTGAGGTAGTGCGACCCGTCCCCTCAGTGGTGCTGGACATTCTGGATATTCTCACCCATGTAGCAAGGCACTCCTCTGAAGCATGCATTCAGGTAACAGTCCAGCTGTGCAGGGGCTCACAGAGGAAGGAGCAAGAAATGGAGAGAGGAGAGGGAGACTTTCAATATACTTGTGATATGTTCGCTTCTGCTAACCATCTGATTGCTTGAACTGCTTCCCCGACTAAGTGGTTGTCTCTGCTATTTGCTGTTTTCTGCAGCTTTTGGACTGTCCTCGGCTGATTGAGACCATTGTTAGAGAGTTTCTCCCTACCCGGTGGGATCCCCAGGTGGCTGAACCAGGGCAGCTGCTTATCAGCCTTCATGGAGTAGCTTGCGCCACTGCCATGAAGTTCATTAGAGTCCTGGCATCTGGAGGCAGGGATGCAACAGCCAGACTGGTAAGTGATTGTGACTTGGCATTGCTTTTGTGGCCACAAGGGACACAGGCAGAAGCCCTAGTTCTTTGTGCCTGCTTTTCTGCACAAAGGTAGAGGAAGAATTAGCCATGAATCTAAACTGCAGAATTGGATCTAAACTTCACCAAAGCTTGGGGGTAGATAGAGTTGTTTCTAGCAGGCTGATTCAGATCCAACTTCACAATGAAGAGGAATAATGGCTCCAGGAACCTAGGACTGAAAAGGTCCTCACGGGCCATTGAATCCAGTTCTCTGTGATCACTTATCCCAAGAGGCTAAAAAATTGGCCTTTTCAACTCCACAGCTATGTTGTGAGAACAAACCACAGAAGAGCAGGGGAGACACAGACAACATCACTACCATGTCACTGCAGTGACAGAAAAGCATTTCAAATAGGAGCAGAGTAAGACTCCATCTCTGTGTCCTCCAACTGTTTTGAATGTAGCATTTTTAATAGCACCTAATAAATCGCCATCGAGGAAATTGCCCTTTTCAGCAAGAGAACTCTAACCTGTATGCAATAAAATGAAGTATTATGTATGTGAGTAATGGACTAATAATGGTGTGTGTGTATCCATGTATTCTCAAGCATGTACAAATCTAAACTCTGCAGGCTAGCTCTTTTCAGAGCTCTCACTGTATCCCATGCTCATCTACTCTAGTGTCAGTCCTGTTACTTGGAGCATCCTAGTGTGGCATGTTGCAAACATTTAGGTGTCAGACCATCAAGCCATGAAAACAGCATGAAAAGTCTTAGCATTCAAAATGTCATGCTTTGTCCCGTGATCTGCAGAGGTCACTTAAAAATCGGTGGCTTGATACATTAGTACATTCATTTTCACATTGCTCTGTATGAACTTGAATTTAAATGCTCTACAGCATGTCCATGTATCACAAAGAAATAGTCATGATATACAGAATATAACATGTCCTTCCCCTAGAAGATTTGCTTCCTTTTTCCCACACCTTAGACCTTTTCTGTTTAAGCACAAATATCCAGTAGTTAAAGGGAGTAACTTATCCTCAGAGTCTGTGAAGGCTGAGGAAACCTTACTGTTCACTAAACCAGAACATTTCTAAAGAAAGTGGAATTCCATCATCCAGTAAAGTAGCTGAGCGGATGTGAAGCATTCCATTTCCTGGCTAGAGGGCATTGTTTATGGTCAGACTGATTACCACATTTGAAATCAGGAAGGAATTTTACCCCATGGTCAGATCAGCATGGACTGTGGATCGTTTTTGCCTACTTCTGTAGCAGGGGATATCAGCCTATTCCTTGCATGTCTTGAGCATGTTTTAACAAGCTACTTCCTCCTTTCAGTGGCAGGGTATTGATAGTGCCCTCATCCCCTTGCTTTATCTGTGGCAAGTAAAAGGTGATTTTGATATTTTCAACACTGTCTGGTAGTTGTGTGTGTGAGGGTTGTTCCTGACATTTTTAAGAGAGGCTTAGATACAGATGGTTTCCTTCAAGCAGGGGATTGAAGTAGATGACCGCCTGAGATGCCTTCCAGAGCTACTTTTCTATGGTAAAAAAAACTAAAATGTACTGATAGCCACTCAGTACAAAAAAAAATAGTTCACTTTGTATTCAAGGTTGACTTATGAACGGGTTAAAAAAAAATTAAAAAAATAAAAGAATAACCAGTTGCTGTGGACCAGTAGTCACCAGTTAGTGGATCTTGATCCACTGGTAGATCTTGGAGCTCTTGTGGTAGATCTCGGAGCCTCTTGGAGTCAATCCAAGGCTGGGGTGCGGGGCTGAGTGCCCTCATGCATGCATGTGCATGCTCCAGCCTAGCAGATCAGTCTGTGGGGGAGGGGAGGGGAGGGAAGGGGCAGGGGCGAGATGGAGGCCCCCGCGGTGAGGGACAGTGCTGCAGAGGCAGGAGCAGGGGCAAGCTGAGTGGGCTCTGGCCTGGTGGGACTTAACCTGCTGTGGAGGTGCACCCCCAAATAATTTTTTCTCCCTCTGCCTTGATCTGCCCCCCCCTTCCCTCCCCACAGGTTTACCTGCTGGGTTGTGGAGGAGGGGTTGGCACACAGTAGATCTTGGGTTGCTTTTAAATGCTAAAGGTGATCTACTTAAAATGGTTCGAGACCACTGCTATAGACTGTTAAGAGTCTGACAGTCGGTTGCTTCCAGTTACCCCTAGCGATATGATCCTAGCGTCCATTTATCGTGTATTGATTCTTTGGAAATGGAACCTTAATATTGAACAAAAGAAGGATTTAGATATGAATGTTACAGTGATTTTGAGGGAAGTTTAGACTGGGCTGAATAGGACTATGAGGCTCTTGTGATCCAAGTCTCAAGAATTGTTTACTTCATTGTCTGCTTATTCTTTGCAGCTTAATAAATTTGAGCTAAAAAGTCGTCTGAGCCGTTTTATAGCTGAGGATCCTCAAGACCTTCCTCTGCAGAGAGAAGAAGCCATCAGGCTTAGCACTGAGGCTTTTCGGCTATGGGCAGTGGCTGCTGGATACGGTCAGGCTTGTGATCTTTACAGGTATGGGCCAAACCCAAATGGGGTGTCCTTTTAACAAAGACAGTGAACTTCTTTTTGTGAGGGGTAAAAGCAGGGATTTGTGGAGTTTCCCTTCCTCATGATCCAGTGAAACCTCAGCATCCAGAGACTTGCATGTTGTGTCCTTAATTTTTTCTGACCTTCTGTGATATTCCTTATTTAATTATTAGCATCCTGTTGCTGCTTGTCTAGGTGTGAACACAAGTACATTTGAAACTCTTTCAAAAAGATCTGCAGCTTCTAATTTTCGTGTGAATGAGCTAAGAATGATTCAAATGTAACGAAGCTGCTCCACCTTTAACACTGCTTCATCCAGGTTTACAGTTGAAGGGTTTTGTTACATTTGAATTGTTCTTGGCTCATTCGCATTTAACAATTGGAACATACTATCTGCTGCTCTGACAGCCCTATCAGATTTTCCTGTCTAGTGCTTAATTGGTATTGGTTGTGATTCTGCAATAGCCACATTTTAAAGTCTCCAGATTATTCCTTGAGTTTTCCCTGTTTAGTTCCCTTTTTCATTGCTGGATGCAGATTCTTTCTGTAATCTGAGTGATCCATTGCAATCATGACATTTGGCAGCATGGTTTTTGTAACGCACCCAGGTATAAGCCTCTGCAGCCTTGAGAGAGAGCTTGCAGTGGTCCATCAAGCAGCAGCATGCACACTAAAAGCAGTGCAGACAGAATGCCCCCTCCCCAGCTGCTGTGGGCACTGAGTTCACGAACGTAGATGGCGTTAATGAACACAATGCCTTATTTGCGGATTTTGCTATTATCAGGGGATACAAGAACGTATCCCCCACGAATGGCGAGGATCGCCTGTACTATTTAGCTCCTTAAATACCAAAGCAATGGATGTGACGCAAAAACTTTGTTTTATTAGGACACCATCCACTTCAGTCTTGGAAGTACCTTGAGCTAATAGAGGGGTGGGTCTCAATCTGCAGAGCTTGGGACAGTGTTCCACTTTGTTCTGTTGTTCTCCCGTTTACCCTTTCATTTCTTCTGTCACCACCTGCAGGGATCTCTATCCCATGTTGGTGAGGATTCTCCAGTCCCTACCTCACCTACAAAGCAGTTCCCAGGAAAACAGCCCCATGTTTCAGCTTTCCATCCAGCGAGCAGCAGCTGTGATCACTCTGCTTACCCACGTGACTCAGACAGCAAGCTGCACAGCAGAGCTGCAGGCCCAGCTAAACAGGTAGACCCTACCGTTTCTGTCATCCTCTTGCATTGTCTCGGTGTCCTCTTGGAAACACTGATGTTGTTTCTCCTTTATTCTATCTCTCCTTTCTTTTGTCCTCTTTCATTTTGTATAGTTTATGTTCAAACAGTGACAGTGTCCTCTTAGCAATCATATTTCCTAGGGATTTCCTTTAGCATCTTGTCAGTGCGAAATACAAAGGAGACAACAGGATCTCTGGCCATAAGGGTGTCCTCAGCTGGTATGGTAATTCTGCTGAGGAGCTCATGGCTTTCTGTGTATGTGTACATGCACATGCATGAGAACACCCTACCAAGAGAATAGGCTTAAGCAGGTTAGCCAGAGCATTTGATGTGACATGGAAAAGGAGAGAAACAGTAACTTGTGATGGGGAATGTATGTCCAAATTAGTAATGAAGCAAATATATCTTCTGTCTGATACTTCTGTGTTTAAGCCAACTGAATATAAAAAGTGCATCACTAAAGTAGTTTCCCAATGCGGACCAGGATACTGTCCCTTGCTTCTCCATCCTGAAGGTCACCTTGTGCAGAAATAAATTTCCACTGGCAGTCATCAATTACAGTTTTAAAAATAACAAATGTGAGAGGGAGGAGTGAGGAGAAACAGATGTAGCTAATAAAAGACCTTTGCACCGCATCATAAAAACTCAGTGCAAATAGTCCTCTTTCCATGATGATTTTTATGTGAATGAAAAGCTGGTGTGAGGACCTTTATTGGGTTTAATCACTCCCTTTAAACAGTGGAGACTCAAATAAAACAATGCTGAACCAGGAACCCAGGATGCAGGAACAGAGTGAAACTTCCCTGCCTTGTTTCATTGTCTGAACTGAGCAAGGCACCAAAAGGACCTGGCATGAATGGTGGAAAGCAAAATATATTTTAGAAATCTCTTCACTATTCAGTCTTTCAGCAATAGAGGGAAGCACATCTTGCAGCTGAAGTAATTGGGTATACAGAGCTAATTTGACAATGTCACTTTAAAGTATTCTCGTTCTTTGGGTATAAAACACCTTTAAGATATATTCAAGTTCCACAACACGAATAAAGCAAACCTGTTAACACTATCCCCTCTGCTGTGATTCATCTCCCACCTGAGACTTTTCAGTAAGGTTTATTGTGTGAGTTTAATGTTTCTTCCTCGCTCCTGTGTATTCTTTACCACTCTCACTTATTGTAGTAAGTATCAGACTCTTGCTGTCTATTTCCCCTTCTTTTCTATAAGGCAGAGTGGGAGTAAGTAGCTAATTCTCATACTGGAACAGAGTTAATAACATGTTTCCCAAGGGATCAATATTGAGTCCAGTATCTTAATCTTTATCACTCCTGGGAGGATGAAGTAGACAATGGAATTTGCTGAAGACACAATTATTTTTGTTGCAAGAAAGTGAGGAGCTCCACTCTGATCTATGCAAACTGGGGGATGGCAGGTGAGATGCAGTAGGTAAGTGCAAGGTAACGGGTTAAAACCTTTGAAATACACTGCCAGGTTTTGAATTGGTTAGAGAGAATTCTTAGAAACCGTTGCCGATGTTTCCATAAAAGCATCTGCTCAGTGTGTAGAAGCAGTTAAAAAAGCTGTGACTAAAGGGACAGGCTCATATAATGACTGTATATGTCCAGAGATCAATTTGGCTGGACTGTCTTGAAGTATCTTGGTGAATTGATGTTTTTCCCTAGTGGCTATCCTTCTGTGCCCTTTCTCTGTGAGACTGAATGCAGTGGAAACATGTATTTTTAATCATAATGTTTGAAGAATCCAACTCTTGCAGAAAAATTCCCCTTTGCCATTTCACCTTCTGTTATATTGTAACAGTGGCCCAGAAGATGGGGAGCAGATTCCGCCTCCACCAGTGACCTGGAGTCATGTGTCAGGCCTGCGACCTTTGCTTGAGACCAGTCTGAGGAGATCTTTCCAGGAAATATCCCAACTAGAAACTTGGCAGGCTCTACAGCCTCTTACAACAGCATATGTCATCTACTTAGGAGTTTATTATAGTGTTTGCAGCCAACAGGTAAGGCCTTTGAAACCCCACCCCTAAAAAAACAAAAAACAAAAACTTCTTAATTCCTAAGTGAGAGCTTCATAGATTTCATAGACATTTGGGCTGCAAGGGACCACGGAGGATCATTGAGTCTAGCCCCCTGCCCCATGGGCAGGAAGTCGGCAGGGATCATAGGATCCCAGCAAGATAAGCATCCAAATGTGTCTTGAAGGCGTTCAAAGTGGGTGCTTGAACCGCCTCCAGTGGCAGTCTATTCCAAACCTTGGGAGCTCGGACAGTAAAGAAGTTCTTCCTTATGTCCAGCCTGAATCGGTTGAAACAAGAGAAGATAGAACTCTAACCAACAGGGCACTGAAAGCTGGATTCTGATTACCAGTCCTGAAATCGAGGCTGGACAGCATCTAAAATGCAAGCAATTAGCATGCTTAATACTCAGTATCCCTTGCAGATTGTAGTGACCACATATAGTTCTTGAATATTTTCCTGTCTGACTTTGAAGCGTCTGAACAGTGAAAATGTGCGTGTTTGTCTTATCAGGACTTTGGATAGCAGATAGAGACAGGAACCCAATGATCAGCATGGTATATGGCCATCTTTAAGCAGAATTTTCTGAAGGTGAAAAGTGTCAGGCTTATGAAAGTGAAGGCTGACATGTTACATCTATCCCCAGAATCGATGCGTCATTGGCACCCAAACCTAAGCTTTCTTGCGCTACCCTGCCAACATGCCTCAGCCCTGACCTGGAAGAACCATCTCTGAGGGTGGGGGATAATTTTGTGTGTCTGACAATTGAGACCTTTCTGCCTCTTCTGAGACTTCCCGAAATAAGCACACTTCACCACTAGTTGTGGTGATGTAGAAGCTGGCCCACAAGCAGCTCCATGGGGACTGCTAGCTCTTGTCAAGTAGCCCCAAGGAGCCAAGAGAGAGAAACAACTTTGATCTAGTGCTACGTAGGTGCTGGGTTTGAACTAGTGACTCTAGCAGCTTAAAGCCTAATATTTATTACTGGACTTCTGTGAATATCCAAGGAAGACTGGATGGTGCCAATCACTTTTTAGATTTTTGAATTCTAAATTCAAAAAAGAAAAATATTGTGAGGGGGGTGTGCTGATACAAAGGTGGCTTTACCTCAGTAGCATACTACTACTATGTTAAAAATATTTACAAAGTGTGTGAATTAGAAGGTAAAAAAAAATCTACCCATGTAGTAACCCTAGGATAGTGGCTATCCAGAATTCCTCAGGCCATTCCTATCCTAAAATCCAGAACTGAGAATGGCAGCATGTCTGCTTAGCTTGAAATTATAAGTCGAGCCTCTTTCTGGAGAGGGTTTTCACTCGCTTCTTGTGGACTGAATCAAATTGCATTCTGGCAAAATAAAAAGGAGTATACTCTTTGGTATATTCTCATAACTTTTGAGCATGTCTTAGTGAGGAAAGGATCCACTAAAACCTTAGATTTACAGTATGAAGTTCTCCATGCAGTGCTCCTACATGGTATTTTTTAGTTTGGTCTCAGTGGCTTAGCTGATCTTGCTGTATGCTGCTGATTCTGCTGACATCCTGGATAACACTGTTGAAAATTCCCAGAGCAGTCATTAGCCCTTTCTTGTGTTGTAATCCCAGGCCTTTGTTTATGAACCCAGGTAGCCTCGCTTAGTTTCTTTGTGGTTAATGGACAGGCCAATATGTGGGGATGTCTCTGGAGCTGGGGGAGGTTTATTTACCTGTAGACACCTACTCTAATCCATAGTATTATCACTGTGCAAAATGTGTCTGCAGGAAAAGGGCTCTTAAACAAAAGGGAAGAAAGGCAAGTGAAGCAGCCTCTTCCTTTTCCTTTTTCTGACTGCCTCCATACATATCTTTTTTGTCCCCTCCCCCATCCCATGTTTTCTGCAGCCGTCACTAAATCCAATCGATTGCTTGGAGGAATTGGAGCATTTGACATCTGAGGTGCTGCTGCCTCTCCTTAGCCAGCCAGCCTTGCACAGCATGTGGGACCTGCTCAGGTAAAAACCATACCAAGCCAGGGAACTAAGCAGGTTGACAAGCTACCTGCAGTCTCATTTCTGAACTATGTGACATGCTCAGAAATGGGGGAAGGGGAACAGTTCTGTGACTGAGAACCTCACAAAATGACCCCTCTAACGTGTGTCAGACTGCAGCTGCACTGCATGCTTAGGTGGTTTATTTTGGTGTGTTTACTCACCAGACATGACATGGACATATTGTTCCTGATGGAACCCTGTCTTCATTAGATCGGTGGAAGGTCCCTCCATGTGTATGCAGCTTAGTGCTTTTCTCTCGGCCTCTTCCCAGCAAGAGAGTGGAGACTGACATATCCACAGTAGACTCAAGGGCACCCACTCCTTTTTTCAAGTGTCCTGCTTGTGGATCACCAAAGTGGAATGCATGTAGGCAACCCTTTAAAGAAAGAACAGTTACTCTGTAGTAACTGTGTGGCCCTTTGCTGTCCACATAAACCATGATCTGCCCTCCTTCCCCATTACTTTTTTGAATAGAGGAACTAGAGAGTGGTTTTGATTGCCCTGACCTTTGTGTTCTTGGCTATAGCATAGTGAAGGACATGCCCTAGTATCTGCTTTTAATTTAAAAGATTGTGATCTTGTTGTGCCTGAGGCACCTGCAGAGGTGCAACTAGCAAGGTTTGTGCCCTGGAAAAAACTCTGTTGGAGATTGGAAGGAGAGGGGTTGGTGGTGGGTGGGGGAAAATCTTATTTGCCTCAGGGACTCCAAAATTCCTGGCTTGTACTGCCATGGTACAGCCTGCCCACCCTGACTCTTGCTGCTGCAGCTAGACCAGTGGTGCCCCCTCTAAATTGGTGCCCAGTGCTGGTACCCTGCTCACCCACCCCTTGTTACGCTACTGGGCACCTATACACCAGACCCACAGTTACTGAAGGTTAGGTGACTGGCTGCTCTTTTTTATTGTACAAGTGCAAAGCTTAGCCATTCCCTTTGAGTATATCTTTCAGTGTACTCATGACCTGTCAGTCTGGCATGGTTGGCAATGTACAAAGAGCCTTTCTTAATAAAGTCCTACAGGCAGAGGTGTATTTTAAGTGTGAGAGAATCCTGAATTTCAACACTTCTTGCACAACATGGATGCGTAAAAGGACACTGAAAACTCCTATGTTTTAATACACTCCAGTCTTTTAGATGCAGGGTTGGCTTTTTACTCTTTACATAGGTATTTTCATTTTAAATGTTCTTATTGGCCAATGTTGGTGATTTGGATTAGGCCTGTGTGTGGAAAAGCTTTGGTTTCTTTGGTTATCTGTGGTCCAGTAGTTTTGAATAAGAGCACAGTATAAGAGTAGCACAGTATAAGAGTTTGGTCTCCTTGATGTTCCTGAAATTTGTGACCAGTTAATCAAAAGACTGAAATTTGTTAGAGTCAACATGTGTTAATTTGTATTGAAATAGTGGTTAACTGCTCTACTGAGGAGCTTTGTGATGCTAGAGACTGTGTACTCACAAACCTTGAAAGGCTCTGTGGCTACAGTTGATTGTACAAATGTTTCTGAGGTGGGAGCTTTTAATGTGTAATTTGCCTTGAAAGCTGTCAGTGTAATGAGTGCTGTTGATCTGATCTGTCTTTATTCACACAGGCCGTGTTCTGCTCTATGCAATCCCTTGTCTTGTTCCCCAGCACCAGAATCTGTCTGCAGCATTGTGTCTTTGAGTTGTACTGGAGGCAAACCCCCTATGAGTTTAGCTGGCTCAAAGTCACCTTTTCCCTTCATTACTGCTCTTCTTTTCCTCATCAACAGTATCACCCAAATCCACAAAAGCCTGGTCAGCAAGGTTAGTATTGGCTTGTTACTAGGAACTCCACTTGAATATGAGCTTGGTTGTGGGGGAGGGGAGGGCCTGTATCTAAGTATGCTGTACGGGTGACTTTAGTAGGGTTGTTTATGCTCAACAGTTGGGGGTTTTGGCTAAAGATAAAACAAAGTGGTAAGGAGAACCCTCTAAGTTCAGAAGTAGCAAGATCTTGCTTCTGATATGCTTAGTCCTGGGATGCACGCTATACAAACAAAAATGAGCAGCTGAAAGTAGTTTGACAAGGTAAGAAAAACAGTCACATTGCTCAAGGGACTGATTTGTAGGGAA